TGGTGAGTGAGGGGTTTTTCTAGGATTTTTTTTCTTAAAGGCCGGAGCTGCAGTGGGCGGGGCAGCCATGGGGGGAGGAGTTGGGGAGCAGGGGGCGGTCAAGGATCTCATGCAGAGGCCCCCACACAGCATGGGGCATTGGGGGGCAGCGGGGATCACCCCCCGCCCAGCAGCACCTGGCGAGTTGGGGCTTTTTTTAAAACAAGTGCTGGGAGCTGTGGCGGGCAGGGCAGCTATTGCCGGGCTGGGAGAGCGTGCGGGGGGACGGGCCTGGCCTGGCTGATTCAGAGATTTGCCTGCTGCTGAATCTCCTAATCAGATTCGGCCGAATCAATTCAGGACAGTGATTCGAATGACCGAATCAGCCAAATCCAAATCCAAAGTGAATACTAGCCACTTCGCACAGGCCTACCAGATGCCAACACTGAAATTTAAGAAATGGTGTGTGACTTGATCTTTGTCCTGAAAACGTAAAATTATTGTCTCAAAAATACTTTATTCTCCCATAGAAAAGAAAAGAAGTCTTAAGCTCTGGTCTCAGAAACACTTGCACACAGGAGGAGGTTGAATCCCAGTGAGTAAAGGGTTATTCATGTGTGTCAGTGTTTGACAAATTAGGGCCTTAGCCCTTAGTATTCTTGCTCCTATTTACAGTAGCATCTCTTAATGGGTTATGAGGCATTATAATTTTACAGCAGGCCTATCAATCATTTAATTTATAGGATGCCCTTGTATATAGCATATATATGGTGAAGACCATGCAGGTCATAAAAGCAACAATAAATAATCTGTGGATCAGTGACAGATGAATATATAAAACCAGAGTACAGATCAGATCAAACTGCCCAAACATACATAATGGATCAATCCTGCTCTCAGGAAAAAGAATGGGGAAAAAAAAATCATTGATGTCAATGGGTTCCTGTAAGGGTGCTCTGAGGTTTTTGCCTCATCTCTTGGTGAATAGCATCCTAGATAACAAATATGATTTGAATCTCATTTGATACTAATCAGTAAGCTAAGTCCCAGTTCCTAAAAGACTTCCAAATAAAGACCTATGTAACACATACCAGTTATCAAATTATACCACTCTCCCTTGGTGCCACGTAATACTGCACAGAGGCGCCATTTGGGGTTTATTTGGGATAACTGAAACCTTTTATTTTTTAAGAAAGAAAATTATTTATGGAAACAATGGCAAATTGTTTCTTTTCTTTCTTCTTGACAGAACATCACTCAAATCTACAGAATTCAATTAAATATTATTTCAGTCAGAATACTGAGAAAAGACTTAAGATTATTGATTTTGACTCCCCACAAGGAAGTCATGACAAGATAGACAGAACCCACATTAAGCAAAGGCTAACAGAGATTGATGGCCTCATTCACAGCAGGAGCTGCGGTTGCTCCTGTCTGATACAGTAGAGAGGTGGAGTGGAGCTGTTTGCCAATCCACTGAAAGGGCTTCCAGTGAAATAAGCCCCAATGAAAAAAGTCACACAAACTTCTCCAAAGGGAGAGGGTGTTCCAGTCACGTATGTTGAAACATCTCAAAATCTCATCCACAAATAGTATTTAAACTTTCTTCCCAAACTCGTAGCTCACACGATAAATAAGAACTCCACATAAGTTTCTAGCATCCTATTTTTCAGGCATTTAATCTAGTACTCAAAACCAGTGAAGCCATGAAAAATGTGGAAAACTGGAGAGTGTCAGAAGGTGCTCATACCTAACAAATGAACTGAGTTTTTGCTAGAAAACTTAAAGTCTTCTTTCCCTCAACTCGAGTACACTAAGTTGTCACATAGCATTTTGCAAACTCTTTTGTATTTGTGTAACTTTATACACTCGCACCATTCTTGACTTCAATAGTGATACTTGCACATACAGTGTAACTCTCAGATCTGTATATTTGCAGAATAAGAACCTAAGCTATTTCTAATTACAGGTTTCTCTTCAATCAGCTGTTTTCTCTCCTCTGCTGGTCTCCTTTATAGTCCTGAAAAAAACGGTAAAGTTCCTTTACTACAACTACCCATTACAGTATTTTATAACACAGCTGCATAGCACAGCCAAGGCAATAATTGTGAGAAACAGTTGTGGCCTATAAAGAGAAGGCTGTATGCATTTTGCTCAGCCAAGAAGTATGAAAGTTAGAAAAGTAAAAATGAAACCCAAAAGAGAACAAAAAAAAAAAAGAACAAAACAAAAGAAAAACAAACAAAACCAAGGGGAAAAAAGAAAGAAAATAAAGTGCCTCATCAATAATAATCATAAAATAGATTTGAAAACGCTTTGGTTTTTCTGAGCCAGATGTTGGCAGTGGCTTGCTAACAAATGTGACATTTGTTTCTCACTGAAGATGAACCATTACCATGTATCTAAGATAAAGATTTGTGGTATGTCTTACATTAGTGTCTTAAAGTTAAAGTTGTGAGAGTTTCTATGTGCCATCAGATGTTATAAATGAAGGGCTGTGCTCTTATTTTTTAGTTACGTAACTAGCTTTTTGAAATCTCTATTTTAAAATCTCAATTTCGAATGCTTGAAAAATTACAAAGCTGTTACAAATATAATACACTGATGAAATATTTCACTGGCTCTTCAGTTAAGAACTAAATAAATGGTATCAAACTCATGGAAACAATTTTTGGGATGAGATTCCTGTTTCTTGGAGAGGCTGTTGCAGGATTATTGCTCTAGGATATCAGTGCCTGGCTTTTGTTCAGGTGTTGTAAAACCAAACGAGTTGTTTGCTAAAGAGCAAAACAAATCTAATAACAACAAATGGAAACAGGAGGGACGGAAACATTTAAAATTCATTGACCTACATACTTCCCCATCTGCCAAGGCTTCCGTGTCAGATGGCCAAAGTGAAGGATACCGGGAAAACTTAATCATGGGGGATTATTCAGATGAACAGAATAACATTTCCTGTAACCAGCATTTCTTCTGCAAATCATGTGAAACATTAATATTGGGTGCAACTGCAACCTCTCCAAGCAATAAAGTTAAGATGTTTGCATGATTTCCTTTACAGTTCCATCTGAATTCTTCTTTCACTGGGGAATGAAATCTCCCTTTCCCTCCACAAGCAATAGAGGTTTTGCTTCAAAACCAACACTCTTTTCAGATCTGCACAAATCTCTAGGATCTGCCATAGACATAGAGACAGTATTTTAAGGACAGGGTGAGACACTTTACTGTAGAGATCTTTTGTTTTGGAAGATACAGTAGTGAACGTGAGATTT